TTGGTTGTATTTTGCTAAGAAGGCTACAACCCTGTAACAATATGATAAATAACTATAGCTAGTAATAGATATAACAAAGTTCTTAAATAAGCAATAACTAAAGTTATATGTATAGTTAAATGTATTCTTGTCAAAATGTACTTGTCTGAGGCTCCTATGATAAGAGTATCACATGATTCTAATATTTAATAAAAGTAATAAGTTAAAGAGACTAACTTTAACTACAAAAAAAAAACATATAAAGAAAACAATCAAATTATAAAGAAATCTAAAAACTATTCTAAAATCTAAAAAAACTTGTCTACAGATATAAATAAAAAACTATCTATATAGTTGTAAAAAATCTATATATAGAGCTATCCAACAAAACAATATATGAATTAGAATATATTTTAATCTGTATTAAGAGCTAAAAATTATATATATATAGTATTTAACAAAAGTTTTTCTGCATCTATATCTTTTTATAGAGAGGTGCTACAATCTTGAAACTTTCAGAAATATTAGTATATATGTAGCTTAGATTGTGTATTTTTTTAAAAGGTTTTTAATTACTAAAAAAAATTTTAGATAAGAGCTAGTTCAATACTTAGTATTATATAACATTTTCTGCTTTTATATATGCTTCTTCCCTTTTGTTTTCTCTATTATGAAATAAATATATATATTTTTTTGTCACTATTTTGTATTTAAAACAAAATATTTATTGGTAATTAGTCACTCAACCAGAGAGAGCTCATAATGTAACATGATATGATTTATATAGATATAGAAATTAGAGTTAAAACTTTTTTCGTACTAAGTTAACTATCTTTGGACTTCTAATTGAAGTTGTAGAGCTCATTAAGACAAATTTAATGATAGTTGAATCATCAAAATCGACCTGGTGGATCACGAGATATCATCGAAAAACGTTTAACTAACTATGTAAACTTCTCTTTTAACAATAATATTGTTAAAAGAAAAGTTTACATAATTGGCGAAATGTTTTTCGAAGATATCTCGTGATCCACTAGGCCGATTTTGATAATTCAACCACCATTAGATTCGACACAATGAGCTCTACAACTTCAATTAGAAGCCCAAAGGTGGTTAACTTACAAAAAAAAGTTTAAGATAGAAGCAGCTCACATTCCAAAAACCCTAATTTCTATATGTAAACCGCGTCACGTTACACTATGAGCTCTCTTTGATTGAGTGGCGAATCACCAATTAACAAACTTTATATATATACATATATTTTAGCTTAAAAATGTCCCTCGAAAAATATGATTTCAACGTTATTCAGACCTCTGACTCCTCTTCCTCTATCTCCACCTCTACCAACACTTCCATTTCCTATTAAAATTTGCTCACTCACATTGGCTCCCTTCAAGATACAGTCACAGCAGTCCAAAGTTTATTGAATAGATTGGAAAAAAAACAAAAGAGTACTCAAGTGGCTCGAGCTGTCCAGGATGTCTACTTCTATGTACCAAGTTAACCGATACATACACTGAACTAAAAAAAAGAAAGTCACAAAAAAAAATTATTACAAAAAATCAACAACCTCGAGAAACATGTATGAGATTTGGAGAGAGAAAATCTTCGGCTCCAATTTATAAGCACAAATAATCAAATCAAAGAGAAAGGAAAGGAGAAAAATAAAAATAATAATATTATTATCAGGGGTAACATGAAAATTGCGCCCTTTTGTTTTTCTAGCAAAAAAAATTCCTTGCGAAATTTTGGTACAGTACTTGTCCACCATACCAGTTTTGAGAGGGCTGACGGTAAATGGCTTCGAAGTATTGAATAAAGCCTTCACTTATTCAAAAGATGGTAGACGATTTCGACGAGCAAAAAAGCTTCCGAAAATTTGGAGTGGACGTAATAAAAACACCTTTTACTGGTAGCATAGATTCAAGTTTAAAGCTTTATACGTGTATTAAAAAAATTTGAATTTAGATGTAATACATTTTAAATATTCAAATTTGAATGTAAGTCGGTTTTGAATTTGTAGCTATAAATAAAATAAATTCTTGAATAAACGATTTGAATAAATAATTTGAATAAATAATTTGAATATACAAAACTTCAATTATTGTTCGAAATCTTGTATTCTGTAAATCTCAGTAATTCTGTTATTCTTATGTTAAACTCAGATTTAAATTTAAGAAGCGATTACGTACATGTTATAGATCGGAGTGCCAATAATTGTTTTAGGGGGTTCAAACTTAATTAAAAAATAAATAATAAATTTTTTTAATCATTACGGCGCGTTTGTCAAATTTAACTAATTTTTGGTCCCAAACTTTAAAATTGGTCTAACATTTCACAAGATACATGCGTTTTAAATTCACGATTATATGATTTTTCTTTAGAAAAAAACAAAAACTTAAAATGGCGAAGATTTAAATGTATATATTTCATGAACTATTAGACCAATTTTAACGATTAACAACTTTTACTAGAACTACAGAACTACAGAGAAGATAAACATAATACAAGGTCTCGTAAGTTTAATTTTTGGAATATTTTACTATGTTTACCTTTTTTGTGATTCTAGCGAAAGTTGGGTATTATTACGTACTATTCTTGCGGTACCTAATTTGTTAAAATTGGCCTAGTATCTCACGAGATACATACTTTTAAATCTTCGCCATTATAAGTTTTTTCTTTAAGAAAATCATATAATCGTGAAGATTTAAATACATGTATCTCATAAGCTACTGGGCCGATGTTAATGATTAAGTACTGTTAGAATTGTAAAGCTCTATTTTATCTTTATTAGAGGCCAAAGTTTTGCTTGTACGTACGTATAATGTTATAACTCAATAACGATAACTAGTTATTTGTTATTTGTGATATTGGGTTATTTCACTACATACGTAGTATTCATGTCAAACCGGTTTACCATTATCCAAAAATGGTCAAAGCATACTATTTACGTATCCCCATTTATGATTTATATTCATATTATTTTTCATTCGAAAAATGAAATTTGAAAAATTATTCTAACCGTTTTCATCTGGATCACCGAATTAAGTTATACGAGTGACAAATTTGCATCTGGTTCGGAACTCTATTAAAGTGTCGACGTTAATAATAATTGTTCTGGCATGGTATAGTTACACACTTGACGACTATTTATATACGGAGCAAACTAAACGTGCAATGATCAACATAAAGATTTTTAGTCTATAAAAAGTTTATATGATGCATGAAACCTTAGTTTTAATAATTGTTTCAAAAGTCTCAATGTAGAGGTAAAAGTTTCAAATTCAATCGTTAACGTAAAATTTAATTAATATAAAATTTATTATATACGCATAAAGTCAATAAAGTCACTGATGGTATTTTAACAACAATTTCAACATCTAAGTTAAAATTGAAATAAAATCGGTAAGACTGTTATATATCAACTTTTTGGATTTAAACATCTAATGTGTATTTGCATCTACAATAGCTAAAGCATAGAAGTTATATGGGAATAAGTTAGAGAGAATTTGATCGAGCATATTGATATTATCATGATGTCATTCCAAGGAATAGCGCACATGTACATATTTATTTGGATGTTTAATAATTTTGAATTTAAATGCTTGATAATGCATATTATGGCATATCGATATACTCTAACAAGACCCTTATTTCTTATTAACGTAAACGAGTTGAGTTGCAGACGCGTCAATTGATTCCATGCAAAAGTATCGGGTTTGATTCAAGGCCAGAGAAGTCTCGGGTAGTGCGTCAAGTCCGGTATTTTGTACAAAACCAGTTGCATTGTCTGTTGTGTAACGTTAAAACTGTTTTATGAATAAAGTGTTAACAATTTTTATTGTCCTACATTGACGTACCAATCGTATCCTACATTTTCTTGAATGGAAACAGATTTTCCAGTAATAGTTTTAGTAAACAAGACTAGCACATGTATTTAATAAATCTAAAAGTCAATTCTTCGGTTGATCTTTCGGCTCGCATTTAATATGTCAAATATTCTGGCCAATGGATAATATGTACCACAGGCACAAATCCACGTAGTGCTAGTACAACATTGCAGCAACTTTAATTAACTTGCCATGTCTTTTCTTTTACTTTTCCCTTCTTAACAAACTATCTCCCTGTAAGAAACGTTTCGACACTCTTTCTTTTGGTATTATTACCAAGGTTACCTACTTTCGAATTAAATACCTAGACAGCAAGTGGAAACAATCTTTTTGGTGTAAGAAGATTACCGAGATGAACGGAGATACAAAATTAATACTATCATTGATAAATAGAATAAGTCTTAAGGTAAATTAATTAATTCTCCGAATTTGTTGCTTCATCGGATTAATTTTAATAATTAATTTTCTTTTCTTTTGAATAGTTACCATGTAATAGCGGAAAAAAACTAGATGTATTGGAATCTGATCCCCTTATCTTACAAATCGTAAACTCAATAATTGATTTATCGAGGTATAAACTTAGCACTATAGCTAATAATTTAACTCAACTATTAGAGACTATTTCCAAGGTATTTATTTTTTTTTTAATTTATCAATTTTTTTTAATTTATTATTTTTTTTATTTTTTATTTTATTTTTTTATTTTTATTTTCTTTATTTTTTTTTATTTTTTATTTTTTGCTTTTTTTCTTAATTTATTTTATTTAATTATTTATTTTATTTTTTCTATTTTTTTTTCTATTTTATTTTATTTTATTTTATTTTATTTTATTTCATTTTATTTTTTGTTTTGCCATGAACGAACTATTTCGTGAATTATGCCATGAATTTCGGTTTTTCAATCAATTTCAAAGTCTTTACTATTTTATATGGAGTCATTAATGAAATTCAAATTCCTGGCTAATTAAACAAGATATATATTTTTGTTTTATTCATATATCAATTTAATTTATTGATTTATTAAGCTGAAATTTTTCAATTAAACAGTCTTCAACAATGATCTTGGAAGATTTCGTCCCTTTCGATGTTCTTCAATCACAGTTATTCATCCTAAAAATTCTATCCGCTTGTATGACAAATCATTGGAAATATTATCGGGGTTCTCAACATGAGATAGATAATCAATCAAAAGCTACACAAGTGATTCCTTCAAATACTCAATCAAATATTCAATCAAATATTCAATCAAATACTCAATCAAATGATCAATCAATAAATGATGTTGATTCTATCTCCTCTTCTACAACCCAAAATATTCCTCAACCTGTAAAAATTGATCAAAAACAACAAAAATTACCGAGGTCATGGGATGATCCTCCACCTTTGGAAGATCCACTTGCTAAATACATTTTGAGCGTATTATCTAGATTCCTTCATCAGTATGTTA